ATAATTGCATTATGCTAATATTTGTATGTAAGCCACTTTAAAAACCATTAGTGGACATGTGCTCTAAATGAATAAAATTAAAGCTAATAATAATACATTAAGGACAATTCAACTCTTTTGAAAATTGGATTGTGCTCATAGCTGTTTTCTTATTTGTGATCTCTCTGCGTCATGCCAGTGGTCTCTGGGCCTGACTGGAGCCTGTTGTCAGGAAGGTTCTGTACAGCTGAGACAGTTTTGGTAGTTACCCATACTACATCTTCAACATATATGTGGGGGGGGTCCCACCCATTCCCTCAGTTCTTCTTCAACTGTCATTGTGGTGCCTCAGGAAGTTCTATCTCTCCTTGTGATTTTTTCCTTTACCATGCTACCGTCTTTATTTTTTTTAAGTCCCGTTCTTTCTTTCACTTCGTTCTGTGCCCATTTTTCTTAATACTTCCTCCTTAAAAATCTCCTTCCTTTCTTGCCCAGTGGCATTCAAATTGCCATTTAGAAATGGCATCCTTTGTGGGAGTAAACTCTCACTTACCAACAGTCGCTTCCTATATCCAGAGGCTCAGGACAACTGTCTGAGGGAAGAACTTAATCAATAGCTGCCATCTAGACCATACAGACCATCCTGTAAGTAGAACTGTCCTAGTCCCCCTCCTCACCTACCTCAGGTACAAACAGATCACTCAGTTAAACATCAGTTTGCATCCTATCCCAGGCTTAGGGATGCCACTCCAAGATTTCACCAGCAACATAGGCATTGTGTCACTGACAAATGAGGACAAACTCCCTGGGCAGGCACTTCTTCCCATATCCCAGTCGTTCACCAATGCCCTCCTCCTCTTCTTCATTAGAAGTAATAACACTGGATGCCTGGGTCCTATGTATTGTGGAACAGGAATACAGGATCTTTATACATAATTTATTTGCTTGTAACTGAACTCCTTAGGATGAATGCCAAAGGGGAGCCCTCATGGGGATTAAGAGGCTGATGTGTGGGAGAAGGATTGCTGGTCCTGCTTATGGCTGTGAAAAGACCTCCCTGTAAATCCAGAGACCTCCCTGTAAATCCATGGCATTCCTTCTTTCCTTTGTTTTCATAGGAAGAAAGAAACCAAGGAAGATCCTTCCCTGGGAGTAGCCTTTCCCTAGTTAGTAGAGTCTTTGAAACTTATATGGAAACCAGGTTGTGAACCCAGCCATGGCCCTTACTCCCACATGGTCTGGCATTGTGGTGGGCCTGCAACACTAGCCTTTGAGTCTTGGCAGTGAAAAGCATGCATTTTTCCTCTTGGCCCCAAACTCATGTCTCAGTGTTCAAGCCCATAGCCTTGGGATGATACTTCCAAGTTCAGTCCAGGACTGATCCTTCTGCTATGGTGGAAAGGGCCAGCAAAATAATTAGGGCTGACCACTGTCTGCCTGCCCTATCAAGAAGGAACAGAGAATAACAGAGCATGGACAGCCATTCTCCTGTTATTTGTTCTCCTGTCAAAAGGCCTGCTTGGGCGTGCACACTTTGACATCTGTATCCTGAGCCAAATAGAATACTTGCAGGTCCTCCTGTGGAAGCTAGGTGAAGCTGGATCAGTATGAAAGGGAAATGGGAAAAAGCAGGTTCTGTTCCTTGCTACAGTGCTTCCCTGAAGTTCAGAAGTATAGAAACAAAGCTGCTAGGCCTTCATGAGCAGCAAAAGGATGAAGCAGTGGAGTACTGTGTCTTGTTGCAGAAGTGACATAATCGTGATAGACAAGTAGATTGTGAGCCTGGGCAACAGGGAAGTAGACAAGACTTGAGGAACAGAAGCCTATTGAGGAGCTGTGCTAGTGAAAAGAGAAAACACTTTTAGGAACCGCATTGTAAGATGTTTAAGTATTACAGTTCAGATAACCGACATTTCTTTTGCTAGGTGGGAAATGGATCTGACTAAAGCTGTTTTTTTCTCTTTCTCTCACCTCTGGAAAATCCAGTTTTAAATTATGCAAGGCTTGGAAATGATTTTACATTGAACTTGCAATGTAAAACTTACAAACTATCACTGGAATGATCATTCCTTATTGGAAGTTCTTTGTTGAAAAATGTTTCAAATTCCACTCTTGTCATTCATTTTTAAGCATTAATAATATATACTGAAACATCTTAATAAGTTTACATAATCTCCAGTGTAAATGTAGTCAAACACTGTTATGCCTTGCTATAGGAGAGCATTGAAGAACTGACATAATTTTTGCCTTCCTGGATCCATCAGCTCTGCAACAGATCCAGCCTTTTGGGCAGTTATTAAGTTGGCCTCATCCATTGCAGTAGTCACATCTACTAATGTGATTGAGGCATTGTGGAAGTTCTTACTATGAACCTACTGCTTTTGTAAGAAACATAATTAAAAAATACTATGGGGAACTTTTGAATTTATTTACAAGACAAATTGGCCTTGAAGAAATACTATCCCATGTTAAAGAGGACACATTTGTTCTGACTCTCATTGTAGGGGCCTGTAACCAAACCCTGTCATTTGATCCCCTTGACACAGAGGTCAGTGAAAGTACATGCATAAGATGATGACTTAAGTGATATGACACTGACAGTGACAGAGATTGGAAAGTGTTAGGAGTGATTACATTAGAAAAGTATAGCTTCAATGTTGTTACTGCTGTCTTCAGCAGTTACAATATTAGCATGGGTGTTTTAATAAATTATAGGTTTTATATATGATTTACATATAAGAGGTAATTATATCTTGCATAGCAGCACTTACTAGTTGCACTTGGATGTAATGATAAACTGTGGGTTATCTTTCCTCTGATGTGGTAGTTGGGTCATTTGAAGCTTTCCCTTCCATTTCTTTCACTAAACACTATTTAGCATTATGTCTTAACGCAGATTAATTGTGGATTGTCTTAATTAGGATTTGTTGAAACAAGGGAACTTCAAACCTTGATTTATGAAATTGGATTGTTTTAATATACTATATAACTTACTAAAGTTTAGGGTTTTGATGCAATAGTAAACTATGGTTAACTGAAAATGGAAACAAAAGCTTCCATACTTCTCATGAGTACTTAAGAAGGAGAATGTGAAAGCCTGAGATTTAGGCATGTAATAGTAATCCATAGTTTATTGTTTTACCAATTGTATCCAGTGTTTGTAGATCTAGATATGATAGGCTTGGCTATTTTTTCTCTAGTGTTTTGATCCTAGTAAAATCCAAAGTACAAATTTTCATCTCTTAACTGTGATTAACGTTGACTTTATCGAATAAGTATCAAAAGGGCAGATCCCTTTATATGCATCAGGTAAACTTAGAAGCTATGCTGTGTAAATCTTGACAGCTAGCATACACCATGGTAAACTGTAAATGGGAATAACATTTTGTTAATTTTTTCAGAGACTAGTTACAAAGCTAGGCATACTAGTTGAGGTTTATATATGAATTATTTTGACAGCATCATTTTTCTTTTATGCTTTCTGCAACTTCTAGAATTAATGCATTAAATTAATGCAATACGTATTGCATTAATTAAGTTTCTAAGCTTAATTAATGTAATATATTAAGCTTAGAATCTTACATTTCTAAAGAGCATTGGCTTTCATAAAGGAGTGAAAGTAGGGCCACTATGAATAAAGAGATTGATGTGCTATATGATAGAGATAAGAGATAAAGGGTGACCATATAGCATTGTGATCTGGTTGGTATACATTTAGTCACTGTGCCATTGAAAAGCAAGGCATTTGATTTTTTCATGGTTCTTCCTGGAATTTGCATATGTTGGAAAATACCGTATTTTTCTGTGTATAAGACAATACATTTTCTTTAAAATACTTACCTAAAAATGGAGGGGCATCTTATACATGGGGGGGGGGCAAGATCATAACTGCAGGCATGCTCGTGGGGGGGAGACTGGCACAGTGCAGGCACGCTTGGGGGGAGATTAGCACGATCACGGGCGTGCTGGGGGGAGGCAGGCGCGGGTGCACAGGGAGGCGGCGAGTGCGCGCACGCAGCAGCAGCTTGCTGCTTGGAGATGGTAAGAAAAGGGGGTGACGTCCTATACTTGGGGGCGTCTTATAGAGGGAAAAATATGGTGTTTTAATTTAAATTTGTTGAGAGAAACTAGTAGGGGGTCATATGCAGGGGTCACAAACTGGGGATTCCTGAAAGCTGAGCTTGAAGGATTTATTTCCTTCACTGCCAGCCTTAAGACAGAAAGAACTATTGGCCTTATAGTGGGAAAAATGATTTTTTTAAAAAGTAATTGTTTTGACTTAGAACAAGGATGGAGAACCTCTGACTTGCAGCCTAATCAGACCCTCAGGGTCTGACTCTCCTCAGGCTGTGTTGCTTGGAGGCCACCAGGCACTTGGGGAAGCAAACTGTGATGAGAGATAAAATAGGGATTACTTTTACTTAGCATATAAAGTTGGATGCTTTATATATAGCATATGTAAATTATATAGAGAGGGAGGGAGGGAGGGAGGGAGGGAGGGAGAAGGAGCACATAAATAAATGCTATATATAGTGTATAATGGGATGAGCAGAGTCTTAAGTGTGCCCTTGGTCTAGCACTTTGCAGAAGGAAATCATATGTTTTGCAATTCTGGGAGTAAAACTGAGCCATCTTGACCTTCCTGACCATTGGTAACACTTCAGCCCAAACATTTGAATGACATCATCCAGTCGTTTTATGTAGCTATAGAAACCTCTGGATCTTTATGCTGATGTGGGAGCATCTCATAGAGCTGGCTGCTGAAGAGACACATCAGAGAAGGACAAAGGGTGGAAAGACTCTTCCTTTTCTTTCCTGCTTCCAACCTTGAACCCATTAGAAATAGAATAATACAAGTATGCTAGTATAGTACTAGTATTGCTAGTAGTAATACTTGTCATTTGGTAATTAGTATTCCACATGTAATTTTACCATTGTATCCTTTTACTTCTTGTAATTGCACATTGAGCTATTAAAATCATAGTTCTAAAAAGGTGACTTGTACTTATTTTTCTTATTAGGTTCAAGCCGTTTTTTCCATTTCAAGTTGTCCCACCTGAAGAATATATGGATCGGAGTCTAAGGGTACAAGATTTCTCATTAACAGAAGGACGGTTAAAGGTTTCTTTAATAGAATGTACAAGGTATGTCCTTGGTATTAGCTGTGCTTCTAATTTCATTGTGTGTCTTAAATTCAAGCACTTGAGCTGTTGAACTGGATTGTGTACTGAGCCTGTAACTCTTAAAATACTATAAATTTTGCTAATGACTGCACACATATAACCAGTTCTTAAACTGGTTTTCCTTTCCATTTGGCCGCTTGTATTGTAGTGCATGTTTACTCTTATTCTGTTTATTCCAGAATTTCTTATAAGCTACTGATAATGGCTACCAATTTTTCTTCTTACTAATGCTACATCCCTTCAGTAACATGCAAAATGAAAATCTTTTCATTTTGTTGGTGTCGTAAAATAAAAATTGATGTAACAATGTTCAAATTTAAATATTAATAGAGAAATTAGTGTCTACTTACTCGGAAGTAAGTCCTGCTATATTCAGTGGAGCTTATTGCCATGTAACTTTGTACTGGAATGCTGTTCCAGCATGTTTTTCAACAAACATGAATATTTACAACTGATCATAACTTCATAAAGTAGATTTTTATGCAGCAACTTAAACTCAAAATGTGTTACCAGCCCTCAAACCTTGTGTCAATTACAATGGCTGACATGATGCACCCTTGGGGGAGGAATTTCCCTGAAGTTTGAAGACTTAAAATCTGAGGCTAGCTGGGGGACAGTGTAGAAGATCATTAATTTTTAGTGCATTATGGAAAAGAATTCACATTACTAGTTGGCTGTGACACCTACAACCTGAAAGGATTATAACAATTTTTTTATTTTAATTCAGTGAATTGAAAACAAATTATTATATGGAAAAATTGGTTACATTTACAGAAACCTCTACTTGATGTCTGAATTCTGTGATATTCTTGAACTGAAATTCAAGGCAAAACCTTACAATAATGGACAGCAATCTATGGCTTGACTATTGCATTTTAATATTTACCATGCTTTTCAGCTGAGGAATGCTCTAGATTTCTCCAGCTTCTTTTGCTTCAACAGTTGCTCCTTCAGCCATGCTTGAGATGCATATATTTTAATTTCAGAACATTAATAGGTACAAAGTCCAGAATAAATGGAAGTGGCGAGCTTGATACATGTATAAATGACAAAATGGCACATAAGTTGTACACTGATTTGAACCTTAACCATGGTAATTTGAAATATCACATTAGAGTGATAGTTATTTGTAATTATCCCATTCTATATCTAAAGTCAAAAGATTTCTTGCATCAGTAGATTTAATACTTATATTCAGAAAAAGAGCATTCTACAGTCCCTAGCAGATGCTGCTGATGCTGGATAATTTACCTTTATCATTATATGAAGTGTTCATGAATCTAGATGGCTATTGACTGAACTAAAATACTATAACCTCTAAGTTCTAAATATATTTACATAATATATGTACTAAGTAGCATTTACATTTTTAGAGGTGTCTGTGTTCAGGTTTCAACGTTATATAGTTATATAGGGACATATTATCGGTAACAGTGGCAGCGGCCCATGATAATGCAAGTGCACATGATTTTTAAAAAAGGAAGGAGAAACATCAAGAGGTATTGGAGCATATATCACCATGCATCTCCATGGATTTGGAACAATGATAAATCCAGTTTTAAATGGAATTTTGAAAGAGGAAAATGAAATAGCACAAACAGGCCAAAGCTCTTAAAGGCTAGAGAGCCTCATGTTTGCCTGCAAAGATCTGTTGGTCCTAGGATATGTTGCTTGTAATAGTCTTGATTTCATCAGTAAATTAAGTTTGAAGCTTGGAAGAAAGAGGAAAAAATAGTCTGCATAAAGTTAGCATTGATCAGTGCTTAGTGCATTATCTGATTAATCATATACCCAGTCTTTCCCAAGCAGCTGTTAATATATCCCTTTGAGTATTAAGAGGATTTTCACATGATAGCTAAATATAAACTCTGGGAAAAGGTTAGAGCATATAATTGATCATGCATGTTAAATAGTAATTTCTGTAGAATAACTTCAGAATTTTAGGAAATGTGAACCGATGAAGCAATTTGAGAGAAAGACAACTGTTGCAAAATGAGCCTGCAGCTGACAAGTCCATCTTTTGCTTAGGCAGGAGCACAGCATCATAGTTTCTGCCCCTCTGAAAGTAAAGGAATGCTTCCTTATGTTGCACTGATTTTGGTAACACATGGAGAGCAGATAGGAGTCCTACAGAGCAGGAAACATTCTACACTTTTGACCAAACATGGGAAAAGTGCAAGGTTCTCCTTGATACCACTGTCAAGGAAATGTGGAAGTGGAGGTCCAAAAAGTGCAGATCACTCCCACCAGCCCTCCCATTCAGTAGTAGATTATTCTAAGCTTCTTCAGGGGCTTCTGGCATCAGTGTAGAATTGCTATCTAAATCTGTATGTATTCTTAAAACATTTCAAGTGAAATACCTCTGGTGTATTGAACCAAGAATTAAGATGGAGTACATTTTCAACTTTTTTGTTTACTAAATAAGTAAAATAAATGTGCTAAAACAATGTGCTAAATTAGATTTCTCTAGGTGATTGCAAGATTTTTCTAATGCAAGTGAAAATATTACTCTGGTATGAATGATGCTATGCAAATTAAAGGAATTTAACTTTTTTCCCCAGAAAACCCACTTTATTGTCCATAGGTGGAAAGAGAAGGAAACTGCTTGAAGAATAGCTACAGTTAAGCTATATAAGGGAAAAATCAATCCAGTGCTTTCTTGTTTTAATTAGAACTATACATTCCCACTGAGTGCACAAAAAAGGACAGAATACATGGTACAGAAGACCTTCAAGGCTTCCTTCATATTTTTACAATATGTCTACTCCTGCTGATTTATGTAACGGTACCAATAATGGAAGATTTTAGTCAAGCTGTTAAATAGCAAATCCAGAGACTTTTACATATTTTAGCACATTTTGTAACCCACCCTGAGAACAATTTTGGCTAAAGGAGTGGGATAGAAACCTAATAAATATACAAGGCAAAATCTTTACATAAACTTTAGCAACCCTACTGAATCTCCAGGTTAGATTGATTTAAACCGTCTTGATTAAAAGATGCTGCAGATTTTTTAGAAAACATTATTCTAATACAAGTAATTAAAAAGCATGGGTGATACATATTATCACACAGAAATGAATGACTGTGATATGATGTCTGCTGCACATGTCAAAATAAGGAGATGTGCTTTTATTTTCCTTCAGAAATATTCTATTAATAGCCACTATCAGCGAACCTTATGGTACGCAGTTTATTGTATTAAGCCATAGGCCATTACAAATTTACAGAGGCATAACATAGAATTTAACAAAGGAGAACCTTAAAATTGATATGACAAGTTTATTAAAACTAGAATAGTTAAAAAGGGATAAAAATTAAAATGAATTGGTCATGCATCAAGAAACTAACCCCTTCAAAACCTCCCTTGATATTATCTTAGCTGCAAAGGCAAAGAAAGGGACTCTGCATGACACATGTGCGTCAAAGTCTGATAAAAGAAATACTATTTTCTCAAAATCAGTCCATGCATTTATAGTAGATAAAATATCGGTCAGAAATTTGTATCTTGGCCCTCTATATAGAGAGCAATACATAATGTAATGAGGAAGGTTCTCCACTTTGAGGGATCCACAGATACAGACATGGTGCTTCATTGGAATTTGAGAATATCAGCCAAAGAGGAGAGCTGCATGCACGGTTTGAAAATGCAGGGCTGTAAAAGATGGCCTAAGGTTGTAATTAGAGATGTTAAGTAAGTAGTTTGATCTAAAGTGATCATGCTTAACTAGTTTATACCAAGTGGCTACTTCAGAATTTAAAATTGATTATTGATCTATAAGGGTGTCTGAATAGTAGATCCAATCCCTGAGGTATGAGTTGTCAGCTGTAGCCCCTAGAAGATCATCAGGGATGAATAATCTATGGATGATGGAATTAAAAAACTCAGAATGTTTAGAATCTTTTGATAATAACAGATTAAATTATTTGTGACCTAAAACATTGGGACAAGAGGAGATGTTTCTATTTCATGTTTTATAACTGCTAGAGGTATTTAAGTCCTAAGAGAGGAGAGCCCTGTCTCAGCTCTCTACAGGGCAGCCGAGGTACCCCTAGGGAGAGTGAGGATATGCCTTAGAAAATGATTTTGGATTACCTCCAGGCTAGATAGAATATCCTTGTTCCATCCGCATATTTCAACTCTGTATAGGAGGTGAGGAACTACTTTACTCTTCAATAGCTTCAGTGCTGGGTCTATCAGGTGTCCTCCCTTGGTATGGAAAAAATGCAAAATTGACCCTATGATACTTAATAGTGTAGGTTTGACCATTATTAGAGGAAGTTTCCAGTTCAAGGTGCCCTACTAACTTTATGTTGTAATTGTTCTTGCTGACTGTTATTATTTCCTGTTTCAGAAAGGGCAAAATTCTGGATCTGAACATAGTCATTCATCTTTTCCCACTAGAGGGTGCAAATGCTTTATTCAACTTCTGCTGTTACGTATATTGTCTTCAAATTGTACAAGTACATAATTATGTATTCAACTGAATTAATCTGAGTAAAGTATAATGATAACGTAAATTATTGAATATGTATGTGTTTTAAGGCTGCTAATAATTTTTATTCCAGATTACTTATTTTTGGATCCTATGAGAGAGAAGTAACTGTTCATTGCACATTTGAACTGAGTGATAAAGTATGGGAAGAAAAACAAAGAACTACTATTAAGACGGTAAATTAAATTCATGCTGCTTAGTATCACTTTTATTTACTGACCATATTTGATTCCGTTTCATTTGAATAAATGATAATTTAGCCTTCAGATAGAATCAGAGATGAAGTACCCACTTGTCCCCAGGGTATTAAAATGTTCATAAGGAAACTTTTGCAGCTTAGCGAATGTCTTATCGCAATGTCTGTGTAATCTTTTATTTGATCTATACATTTGTTCAGATATTTATTAATACTATAGTATATTGTAAGCATAGCATATATTGGAGTGGCCAGCAGAAGAGCCACACACAGTAAATGTTAAATGTTTGAGAGCTACAAGCGAGTGCCCACAGGCAGCGATAGCAAGTGGCCAGTGGGTGCCCATGGGCAGCTGCTGTGGTAGAAGGTGAGAGACAAATGTGCACCTGCAAGTGCCCACAGCAGCAAGCTGCAAGCTGCAAAATAAACTGAGAGCCACATGCAGCTCCTGAGCTTCGGTTTGGCCATCCCCTAGCATATATAAATACTGAGGACGTGATTCATCCCTGACACCCCAACTCCCCCATCAATTGTGGTAGTGGTGGTGGTTGTATTACATTTACATTTAAATACATACATTCATGTATTACATTTATTGAGTCTTCTTGCAAAAAACTCAAGGCAGCTTACAAGTTTTTCCTCTCCATTCTATCCTCACAACAACAACCCTGTGAGATAGATTGGGCTGAGAGTCAAGGACTGCTCCAAAGTTACCCAGTGAACTTCATGGCAGAGTGGAGAATAGAACCCAGAACTGAACCTTCTGTGAGGAATCCATTCTGGCAGTATTTATTTTATTTTATTATATTGCAATTTATATCCTGCCTTTTTCCTACAGAGGGCTCAAGGCAGCTTACATCATCTCTCCTCCTCCATCTTATTCCCACAACAACAACCCTGTGAGGTGGGTTGGGCTGAGAGTCTGTGACTGGCCCAAAGTCACCCAGTTGGCTCCATGGCTGAGTGGGGACTAGAACCCAGATCCTCTGAGTCCCAGTCCCATGCTCTTAACCAGTACACCACACTGGCTCTCACACTGGCAAGCATGCCCAGCAGTAAGGGGCCCGCCAGGAAACCAGCCTGTGTGAACACTAGGCAAGCAGCATCCCTCTTGTAACTTACAGCTTTGTTTGTGTTGCATGTACTGTGGTATAAGGTTGTGTTTGTGCAGCTGGATTTCTGTGATTCATGGACTTCCTATTGATTTGACTCATTTTTGAAGTGAGGGCCAAGTATGAAAAGAACTCTAATGAACAGGGGAGAGCCAATCTAGGGAAGATTGTCGCAACCCTAGTCCCAGCCCTAGACCCAGTCCAGCCACACTGTAGCTATGCCATCAAAAGCTAAGACCTAGGGATGGATCGTGACACCATTTTAAAACACTCATTACAGTGATTTTTTATATAGGAAATAATTTATTTGTTCTAGAAAAGCCCTGTTTACAGATTGGAATATGGATCTATCAGTCATTTGTCATTCTAGCTTCAGATTCTGTTAGCTGTATGCTTTAATTAGATGCAAATTGGGAAAGAATGCAGTGGAACTACATGAAAGATAGTCAAGACATGAAAGTTCAATGAACAGATATTATAAGATAAACATTTACATTTGGAATATTGATAAGGTAGCACCGGGGTGAGCAACGTGCACCCCATGGTCTGTATGCATCCTTCTGGCCTTAAGTACAATACCTGGGGTCACAAAATTTGTTGCAGTTGTGCTAGCAGAAGACTTGGTGAGTGTCTACCAAAGATCAGTGACAAACCATGATGGTAGCCCCCAAATGCCAGATTTAGCAAGATAAGGTTCACATTTCATTTTAAAGCTAAATTTGCTCTATTTAAGTCACCATTTGCCACCAATACTTGCTAAACTCTACTCTTTCCGGTACCAGGTAAAGATATTTGTATTTAACCATGTTAATAATTAATATAACTAATTTTAATAATATTAATTTTATACAGTTGCATTTTTATTTTCTTTTTCATTTTTTCTTTCTTTTCTTTAGTTATGAAATGATATATTGTTGTTTATTTGTTTTATTGTTGAATGTTTTTAATGATATTTATAGTACTGTACTGTTATTTATATTATTTTTATCTTCTATAAGCCATCCTGAGGCTGCTGCAAAGGATGGCTTATAAATGTTTAAATTAAATTAAATTAATCTGTCAGCTGTCTTAGCTACCACCAGTATTTAGCAGTGTGCAATGGTGGTGGTGCTGCCGCTGGAGCCCCCCCCCCCCCCCCAAATGGTCACCCCAATGTAGAGGAAGAAATTCAAATGATTTCTTCTGTATTCTTCCTGCTAGATGTTTTGGAAACAAACTGCAAACATCAACTTCAGTTTAATAAGAATGCAAAATATTTCCCCTCTGGTTTGATTGCTTTTGACTTTTCATACTACTTATTTTTAGTATTGACAACTGTGTAGAATTATTAATTGATTATCTGCCTATCAACTTATTAATAACTAAGGTTCTGCGGTTGTGGTTCCTGGGCAGGTGTCTTGGATGTCCCCTTCTAGCTGCCATAATCATACCCACAGTAGTGGCTCTCCCACACTAGAGACATTCAAAAACAAACTAGACTGTCAATTGAGTGAGAAGGTATAAATTGGTGACCTGTAAGAGCAGGGGGTTTGACCCAGTTGTCTTTTTGGCCCCTTGCAACTCTACTATTCCATGATTCTGTTCTTGAAAAAAGAAGGCCTGAGGTGAGCTAGGGTCAATGCTGGGAGGTATCCTGATACCCAGAAATAATCTCAACATGCTTGCTGATCTGTGCTGGCCCTGGAACTAGAGTCAATCAGTAACCACCTACTGGAATTTGTTGAAAAAGTGGCAGCAGCACCAGTTGTCCTAGGAAGAAAAACAAATAGCAGAAAAGCCACCCTTTCCCCTTATATATGTTTCCTGGCTTGTATTATTAGGGCTTTAATTTGTTGGAGGCTTTGATATGCTCTCTGCAGCAAATGGTAAGTTAGTTCTAGAAGTGTACATATTTCCTCAAAAAGCATTTTATTTTTTAAAATAAAAATCCAATTTAAATAGAAAATCCAAATTTTTATTTTTTAAATCATTGTTTTTTATCTACCCTGGTCCAACAACATCTAGCATTCCATAGACTCTGATGCTTTTTTCCTTCTCAACATTCACCCAGTGAAATTTGTGGGGGGGGGTCACTATTTCATCCATACCTGTTGCACATGGTTGTTGTGAGAATAAAAGGGGAGAATTGTGAGCTTCTGTAAGGAAGGATGGGAGAAAATAAAAATAAACATTCATAACTGGTCTATTGACATAAACTTGGGTAAAAGAAAAATGACCATGTTTAATCAAATACATTCAATATGGCAGATGGCTCTTGGGTAACTTTTTTCTAGAGTTTTGCTAAATGTTTCATCATCTGACCAAAATCAAGTTGGATAGTTTTTAAATCTTGGTTCACTTTTTTCCTGCGTGTGTGTGTGTTTCTTGCATTCTGTAGGTTTATAATTTGAACACCAGGTGGCAATATTGCTATTCATATGGTCCAGACTGAGGTACATAAATTAGAGTAATACAAAAGATAAAACTGTGTTTAGAAATAATTATCTTTTTTCTTAACTTGCAAGTTATCTATAAAATATTAGGTGATAAAAGTTCCATTTGCTGTTACAGAACTGAAGTTCACAAAATGCTTAAACTGGATCAAGCGATTAATGGAATCATTCCCCCTGGGTTGACTGAAGGCAAGTTTAGGCTTGACAACCTCATCACAAGAAAGGGACTTAGGGCTCAGGTACCTAATGTGCCTGTTCCAAAACCAGGCTCCCCATATTGTTAATATGCTTCCCCTTGAAGTTGTCTTTTCCAGGATGGAGCGGAGGAAGACATAGAAGGCTCTGAAAGTGACCAGGCAGAGATCCCATCCAAGTAGCAATTTTAGATGGTGTTCTTTGTCCCTAGTCTTTTTGATACTCTCAGAAAAAGTTTTAAAAATCTTGCAAATAAGCCTTAAAAGGACAAAATAAGATCTGTGACACTCATGTCTTAGTGTTTCAGAATTTCTATATAAATGACTCAAATTGCTTGGGAAAGCCCTCTCCTACAACCTTTGATGGACTACTCAGAAGAGGAGTAAAAAACCCAGTCATATTCAGCTTGTAAATTATATAACCTGCCAAAGGATCTTAATCTTTTTCATTCTTCGCAGTGCTGCTATTGCTCCTTCTTGCTTTTGCTTTTCTATCAGAAGTTCCTTTATTCAGTAATTAATCTTGGTATTCTATGGTCTGACAGCTGGAGTTCAGTTTAAAACATGAATTTGATTCAAGTGCCATGGCATTGCATGCCTCTGTTCATGTTTCCTTCTTTATCAGACTGTCTTAATTTTGGGCACCCTAGCTGCATAGCATCCAAAGTAATAGCCAGAAAATGAAAAAAACTAAAATGATTGAGCAGACATGTAAATCCAGTAGGACTAAATTCTTTGTCAAGTTGCCATAGCCTATTCTTTTCAAATCCAGGTTAGAGGGAAAAGGACTTTAAGAAGATGGGGAAAAACCATGAACAAAACTTGAACCCATCCTTCAGGAAAACTAAGCCTCAGGAAGTTCTTTCCAGCCATTATAGGTAGAATAAATCTGAATATTTGAAGGCAAATGTATCTTTAAGGCCACTTTGAAGTACCCAAGAAATACTCTATCCATGATGCCAATTATTTATTGCAGGGATATATAGCTTGGTCTTCCAGCAAATTCTCAGGGTAGCCAAAGCACCTCTTCCCTGATTTTCGGTGTTGATGTTATTTTCCAGCTGTCTGCTGTAGCCTGGAAGGAGACAGTTTAAAATTAGTGAGTTTTTGAAGTCATAAGAGGAGCCATGTGGTAGATGTTTGTGTTTCTCATAGGACATGTTTGCATGTCTTGGTAAGCCACCCAGCAGATACGCAATGGGGGACTGGTTGTTTGCTGAGCAATCCACAGATGATCAGGCT